CACACCAAATTTGATTAAAAAGTGTTCATTAAAAATCCTTTTGGAAAACCTTTTGGGTTCTCGCGCCGCTCACACGATCCACCCATTTCCAAAAACTAAAAAATTTTGCTTTCTTTTCACAACACGCTTTCACTTAACTATCCCTTTTCACCTGTGACCGTTTATTACAGTTTTGCCACCATTTTATTTTCTAAGAGACACAATTTTGAAATCTGTAACTGTCACATGTCAAATACATTTTGTGTTATCAATATTCAGTATCATATACCTAAAGCGGCACACCAGAGGTTGACATTATTTCAAATCCAACTTGATCCTTCAATCATTTATGGACACTTTGTATAATTGAAATGTATTGAAATGATTAAAATACTCGTTAAAATTATTATTTGTTGTTAGCGATAATTAGTTTCATGTAGAAAACAATCTTTATACATTAATAATTGTGCGCATAGCTGGTTTCATAAAATAGCAATTAAATAATATTTATTTTGACAATTTGATATATTTATTAGATAGTAGTTTTACGGTCTTGAGGTTGAAATTTAAATGAGATTCACGGTAGAAGAAAACTAATACGCTACATAAAACAAAAATTCACGTTGTTAAAGGAAATTATTCATTTTACACTATTTGTTTGTGAAGTGCTGCTTCGGCTGCAACAATGGTCATTATTATCATTACCTTGTGTTTCACCGTAAATCATAATCACGACAACCAATTTATTATTTTAATATTTTGCCATGCATGTTTATAAATTTGGAGAAAAATTAAGAAAAACGAATCAAACCTATTGGAAACCATTCGCTGAAAGAGATTAAACAGATGACCTTTGAATTTTGATAAAAACTAAAACAAAAGTAAATCAAATGATGACAGTGTCAAAACTATGAAGTGACTTTTCTCTTTCATTGTTATGGACACGATTTTTTTATCTGTTGCAACAATAAAATTATATCTGAACAAGGAAATAATTCCAGTGACCCTCAAACCGTGTACCAATATTTTAGAGTTAAATAACATTCTTGATAATAACAATTGTGTGAGTTTTTTTCTCGGTTACAGTATTTCTGTACTCTTCTATTACTAGGTCAAATTTCAACTCCAAGACTCTAAACACCCTGTATAAAGAGCGTTTTTTTAAAGTATGAATATGTAGCCCTATGTCTATAAAACTTAACTACTAGCCATCATTGCATTCCGAATGAAAACACTAAAATACTTCAATTATTTTATCACAAAATTAACCCGCAACAATGTTGTGACTGAAAACGATAGTCTTTGGAACTGAAATCTAGGACATCATTTATTGGATATCTTTCTTTAAAATTTGTAAAAAACTGGTGCAGATTTTAATGGTTTTATGATAATTGTGTATGAATTTTAATACAAATTTCTTTTATTATTACACATTTAGAAAACACACTTTAATAATTATCACTCAGTAAAATTCACACCAAATAATGTGTAAATTGTTTTAATGATACTGATGATCTTGTATATGCTTTTTTACAATTATTTCGTAAAGGAACAAAAATTTTGCCAATAAAAGCCACAAATAACATTGAACGGAGTTACAATTTAGGATACAGCTTCCTTGTTTCCTCTTTTAATAGCCTATAGCAAAAAAACTTTAAAAATTATTTTTTCAACAGAAATAAATAGAGTCAAATTGCAAAATTTAAACCCTCATAACTTCGAAATTTTTATAGATAATTTTTGTTTAACATTTTTTCCATGTTCTTGGTATCTTACCTTATATGGCATTATTCTCTGGGGCGCGAGTTCTGGCGCACCCTGTAGATATAAATAAAATCAACTAAATGCCCTTCTACTTTTTTTCGTTATTCTTTTTAATTGTGCAGCATGTTTTTTGACACTGGAAATTAGCATCATATAGTTTTCGCCCGACGCCTCTTCCAAATGTGTCCATTATTTAACCACTATGGAATAGTAAATATATCCTCTAACCAGTTTAGAACATGACATATTCCGCATAAGTAAAAAAGTTCCACGACAGTGGAATATCCCATTCTAAACGAGTTCCAGACAATACTTTTTTACGACTAAAATTTAAAAACAATTTGAACAAATTTATTCGAAAATTGATGACGGTCATGATGTGACCATTGTAACACCAGTGTGAGAATGCACAGAAACGAATATTCTGTATATAAAAATCATTCTCACATAGTGTCAAAGAATATGAGATTTCTGTAATAAAAAATCAACCAATCAATTTTGCCTACAAGAAGTGACCAATTTCCGCACTTATAATGCCCTTATTGTTTCACATAGCAACCATTCTAACACGATTTAAATCTTAAAACAAAATACCAAAAAATTCAACTAGGACAATTGTAGGAAAAATGTTCACGATTATAGGAACAACGTTGTTCATAACATTTGCAAGAAAGCGATTTAAAAACTAGGGCTTTCATTTCGGAATGCCTATCTTCCCGCCCTTGTTATGAAATTTGAAAATAACTATTTCGGTCTTATGTAGAAACTAATGCATTAAATTTTTTTGGTCATCTATCACTTTAACAAACTATGAAATAGTACATTAGAATTCGAGTTGCATAAGGCATCCATTCAAGAATAAAGCATAAAAATTCAAGAGTAAAAATAAAATAAGCGAAATGGACGGTAGATTTTTTTTTAAAGTATCATAATCTGCAATACTCTGAAGGCCAATTCTTAAATTAAAACACACACAAATCAAAAAAACAACATTTAATACAAATAACAAAATTTTACAAACACGATATTAAATACGAAGGTTTAATATTTCACATACTAAAAAAAATTACTTAAAATTAAATCTAGACGTGTAAATTTTTCACACTTAACCCTTGGCAACGCATGTTAAATGTCATACTTATTTGTTTGTATATGATTGTGTTGCTAATGATAACTAGAAAAGTGTTGGTAATAAGTAACATAAAACATTTTCTTATTAAATTCTACCTATTAAAATTGCTGTTTTCCATTAAGGATACAAAAAACATTATTTTTTGTTTCAAAAAAATATTGTACAAACCTCGATGCGCCTTCGTCGCTCCTTCGTCACTCAAACAATGCGCTCATGCACAAAAAGTGTCTTCTCGCACTTGGTTCGTAAGTAACTACTTTTCAACAGTAATACCTTATACTGTTTCTATGGTGCATTTAATTTAAGCTTACCTCTTATGTTGCTGTTAATTAATACACGTTCTTCCAAAAAATACGTCTAATATAATAAAATATCAGTATAAAATTTTGTCAATTTTTATTATTTTGACAAATCTCTTTTGAATTTAGTAATAGCTGTTAACATACCTAATGATGTAACCAATGTCATAACAGCCGCAGATGTTAGTTGAAATCCGAACGAGCTTGCGAGCGAGGACTTTTAAGACATCTATTAAAGATGTTATGACATTGATTGCATCTGCCGTATGTTCAAGATTTTATCGGTTTCTGTCGATTGAACCGATAGCTGAAAACAATTAAATCCAAAAATTTGTTTTAAAACAGATTGAGCTACTTGCATTTGCATGACATGTTCCCCTGTCATGGTTACATTTTACATAGCACCATCAATGTTTATTTTAACGGCGATAATGAAAATCAGTTGTAATGAATTTTCCCCGGAATTTTCATTGTTATATAAAACTATAAGGTATTGTTTACAGTTCTCTTTATGTTTAAATAAATAACGTTACATACAATTATTGGTTTTCACATCTGGAGGGCTCAGAAGCCAATCTGTCACAATTTTTCTCAAAATGATTTATGTGGTTCAGATGACACTGTATTATTAAATCTTTCATTTCAGGCATTACTTTAAAGTATAATCAATTTCTTTCAATAAAAATTTTGTTTTTCACCTTTGTAGGATTTTTTGTCGAAAAAAATTTTAATACACTTAATTAACTCATTTTTAACATGATTGGTCTTATACTGATTGACTTCTAAAGCCTCCATTCTTTTCAATTCCTTAGTAAATTCTGACAATTGACCTAATAATATAATATTACCTTACCGATTTTGGCTGGTAGCCAACTTTTATAAATGTAAACAGAAATGTAGACAGAAACCGATATTTTTTATTCAATATTAGTGTTGGAAAAAAAATTGAAGACAACACAAGTTTTATAGTTTAAAAATCTCGGTCTACTAAATTCTTGCTCCCTAACGGTCGCTCGAATAGTCATAATAGCTATAATCAGACATCTATCATTTTAATTCATTATCATTGCTTTATGCATTATGCTTTTAATACCGTCAATAATTAATGCATCATATTATATCAGCAACATTGTTTGCGTCTAAGTTACCCAGCTTTTATTAGCAGGAATTTCCATGATTTCTATAATTCATCATCTTTTAATGCATCCCATTAAGTTAAGTCGCTTTTTTCAAAGAACAAATCGATGATTTAAAAAAGGATTGCGACAAAATAAAACTTCAATGCAAGTTTATAGTGCAACAAATACACTCACACATTACAACCAAAAAAAATAATCCCTTTTTAGTTATCAATACAAGCTTATATCTATTATTTTTATCAAATAGTAATAGATTTGCTGGTCAACCTCGCTTCACATAAAATAAAATCATAAAATCAAATATGTGCATCATCGTAAAATCTTGTAGCAACTGCTTTGACATAATTTAAAACCATATAGATTGAAGCAGCTGGTACCTACAGCTTACATATGATGCATACGAAAATTATTTCTTTTATTGTGACATTGTGTTTTTTATATTTACAATTTAGTTATAAATGACTCACATTTTTTTTATTTAAATTTGTGTACACAAAACTATTTTAAAGTTTATCGTAGTGGCTTATAGCTGATGCTTGTGTTTCCCTCTGAACTTGCATTTTTTATTGTTTTTAAATGTGTTTTGTCAACAGCATTATAGACCTATAAAATATTCGTTGCTGAATGTGTTCTGGATTTTGTTTTTACATAGTTAATAACAAAGGATATAATGTGTATTTGTTACAGCAAGCGGAAGCACTTTTCACTCATCATCAGCAATTTTAGAGTCCATTCTACTAATTCTTCATGTACTCTTCGTACTACGTAAGTGCTAAAAAGCGCCCTTTTCTACAGTTAATATCCCACTTTCCAGATTAATTAAATTTATTGTCGGATGGCCAAAATGTGTTATGTAAAATATTTTCTATAAATGTGAAATTAAGAGAATGTTATATTCCTTGAATAAATTGTGTACATTTTTATTACTGTATTTTTTCATTCTTCCTCTACCAACCTTCAATCAATAACGAAATAATAATAATAAATAAAAATATTATAATTCAATTCATACTAACCAAATACTCCAATTACTCTATAATGGTAATTCCGATCATCGTTTACAAAAATAAAAAATAAGGTGAGTTTAGATATTTTACATAAAAAAATATTTAAAACAATCTTTATAATTAAATCACATTTGTTTTCACTGAATGAAAATACTTATTCGTACAAATGAAATGAATAATAACAAAGGCATTAACCGTGTAAAGAAATGTACAGAATTATTAAAAATAGTAGACTTTAAAATAATTGAAACATACTCGTAAATGTGATCGATGCCTTGAGCTATGAAATTTTGTCCGTATTGTAGCGTCATCTAAATGGCACGTTTTGCAGAATTCGATATGAATTGGAAAGGCATTAAATGTAAAATGGATGCGGAGCTACAAACACATATGCGAAAAGTTCTGTAGTGGTAGTATATTGTTTCCAATAAGGCCATATCACATGGGACTTACTGGGATCGACTATTATTTTTATTGCGGATACACCTCAAATATGTTAAAAATGCAAAGTTGCAAATGGTAATAAAAATAACAAAGACTTTGAAGTACATTTGCCAATTTGAAAAGCATCAAGTGGAAGTAATACAGATTAATGAAAGTCTTTGTTCATCGGCTGGTTTTTGCTTTTATCTTTTGTGAAGGAAGCTTCTTATTTAACGCAAAGAGAAATCAAATTGAATGGTTACTTTAATGTTCCATGTTTATTAAATTTACAAACTGGCTTTGTTGTTCTTAAAACTAATAAAACTTCTATTATAATATTTTCAATTTTTTAGTCACCATAAAAGTCTGACTTTATTTTAACTTTTTTTGTATATACCTAGGTACTTGACAAATTTGCATTGACCCAAACCGTTTGGAAAAATGTTTTTTTTTTATTTGTCTTTGTAAATGGTGCTGAACTGTGTTTTGGTTTTCGATTCAAACTTTTGCATACGGATACCAGTACTAGGCTTTGTTATACCGTCTGATCTATTTTTTTTTGTTATGGAGTGTGTTAACTAGCAATAATGAAATTATAAAATTTTCAAATCTATTGGTACCTTTTTAATGTGGCAATCTATATTTTTTATTTAAATGTTTCATTATACAGGGTGTTCCATCTAAAACTTTCGGGTCTAATATCTCTGATATTTGCCAACAGATTTTTTTAAAGTTTAAACTGTAGATAACTTATTAGAAGGCGAAAATTACATTAATATTAAAAAAATTACCTCAAGAAAAAAATATTTTAATACAAATGTTCTTAATTTAAAAGTAAGCGAAACTATTATTGGACTAATAAATAGACCTCTACACAAAAAAATAACTAAAGCACTCGTCTGAAACAGCAGAAAAACGTCGATTATGTTGTTAAAATTTTGATCTAATTTTTGAAAGAATTTTATCAAAGTTAACTCTAAACGAATAATAGTTTAACGTCTCCAATTACCACTTTTTCCAACCCTGAAAACCTGTAGTAAAGTAGGTTAGAACACCTTTAGAACTTTTAGAACCATTGATGCCAGTGGTGCTACCTTCGAGCATCTTTTGTTGTATTGAACTGGTTAGTCCAATAAATGTAGTTCCCAAATAACGTTATTAACTTCTTAAAGTTAGAAAGACAACAAAACTCAAATATTAATGTCATTGTTGCCCGACAGCTTGAGATGACCAAAATTCGGTAATATCGTTTTTTTTTATAGCCGCCCATATTTTTACAAATTCAGCTACTTTTAACCCAATTTTATTATTCTTCTTTCTTGTAAGCGGGATCTCTTTCAAGGACAGACTTTTGCTTATAACATTTGTTGTTGGCGATTCACAATTTGATATAGATTTTAAGTACTTTAGCACTTTTAGAAGGTATGTTAAAATCACATTTTAAGGGCTAGGGTTGTTTTAATAACACGATATTAATCTCTAGCAACTGAATACTTCAATTTCGTTTATTCTATTTTATTCAATAATGATCTGTATACGCCCCCAAAATACGCCCCATAAATTGGTTTTCATGGCACAGATCTGTGAAAAATCCGACAAGCAACGGTTGGTTTAATTTTTCAAACAATGGTATCAAAACTTGTCCTATTCTTTCACATACAAATCTTTTGATTTATGGGGAATCAATTTTTCCTGAGCAGTTTCAAATTCTTGTGAAATTTCTTTTGAATAAACGCTTTACGCTTCAGAAACGTTCATTTCGAAAAATGAATTGTTTTTTAAACAAACGCAGTAACCTTAACAATGTCAAAATGGCTAACATTCTACTTGACTTCCTTCTAAATATTTGTTTGAATCTTCTACAAATTATAAAATAGAATAAAACGTTGTATGTACCACAGACATAATTGTCGATTATGGCCCTCGAGAATTTAAAAGCCCTTGTTCCTCGGGCTTCAAACTTTCCTGCATGCCATAATCTCCTAATTATCCCCTTAATACATAAATAACTATTACGATTTCTTTATAGTTTTCGGTTTTTTTGTTGCTTAAAAAGAGACTTTTTAAAGCACCTCTAAGCCATTAATTCAATGTCATTCAACTTCTCTTCAAAATGAAGACTTTTAAAATTTTTCGAAATTCCTAATTATGCCCTTAATACATAAATAACTATAAAATCCGTTGGCAAATAATAGAGATATTAGATCCGAAAGTCTTATTAGGTGGGACATCCTGTATTTTTTTCAGTTTCTTTTAAGAACATTGTTACAAATAGTTTGAGGCACACTGTACTATACTCTAGTAATTTATCGATTTTATAATAGAGTGTGTAACGAAACAACATTTTATCAGTTGGTATAGATTCAACGCCTGCTGCTTCAACTACTCAGAAGGGTTAATTTGTGGTTTCCTGACTATGTCCAACCTCGAATGTGTTTACGGTCCGTATACGACAGTTTGCTAAGTTTTCAATTTAAGAGCACTTCTCTGCTACTTGTACAGTGTTAACTAAGCAAACAGACTGATGTGCACATATTATGTTTTCTCAGCAAGTTACGTTGCTAACTAGTCATAATAGAATTTCATGTTTTAGGAGGGAGACGTTAGGCTATTTTTAAAACAGGCACTTCGCAGAAATGTACAGGGTAGGTAACTGACAATTTTCTGCCAATCTTATTTTCAAAATTCGACTCATCAAACCAAATATTTTTGAAAACACTACAACATGAATCAAATAAATAGTTCCTTTTTACTTTCCTTATCCTATATGTGTGTGTGTGTGTGTTTCTTTTTTTTTTATTTGACCAAATATTATAAAATTTAAAATAGTTACTTGCGAGAACCTTTTAAACTGGTAATCAGGAAAACTGGATACATCTTCTCAATTTCCGGTTCCAATAGGTCATATTTTCTGTATGTTTCCGTTTTTTTTTTTTTTGGCCGCATAACATTAATTTTTGATTGCTCAAAACAATAGAGTAATACATTTTGAATAAAAAACGCATACTTTAATTAATACCTGTAAAATTCTTATATCTGTAGAGATAGGACACGATTCATTATTTAAATTAACATCATTTTATAGGTCATTTTTGCTTCATATTTATGAATAACCCTGTATATCTTGGATCCGAAAACGTATGTCTGTGAAATGTCAAATAAAATGACAAATCGAAAGGTAAAATAGCATGATCAAAAAGATGATGATTTTAATAACTAAATTTATGATTTACCTTATACCCCGGCGACTAATTCCAGTCCATTTTGCCGTTTGACTTTTGACTTGTTATTTTATTTGGCGTTTCCCGTGCAGTTAGTTCAAAATTAGACATACGTTTTCAAATTCAAAGATGACTCCATTACAAATTATCTTGATCTTTCGATATTAATAATAATAACTTTTTTTTATTCGTCCAAGCAAATTTAAAGTTATAAGACACGTCAATCAAGTAATAAATACAAGTTGTCCCACGAGTAATAATGAGCATGAAAAACTTTTTGAAGCAACCAACATTACATTTCAAAGATAACGTAGATATTAAAATATTTCGTTTTAATTAATTAAACATAGTAATCGTATTTTAATTTTTGACAAATTTCGGTCAGTCAAAATGACTTTACTCCAGTTTTAGGGAGCCTGTCTATTTGGATATCGCGCAGGATAAAAACGTGCACTCTGCGAAGCGTTTTTTTAAACATTCTGTATAAATGAGAATCTTGTGGGTCTTTTCGTCTACATTTTAGTAATTCTCACCAAATTCTCCAAGGTTTGACTTTTTATAAATTAAAGTTGAAGTGCTCTTTGGTCACTACGTTTAATTTATTAAAACCAAATATTTTAATATCCACGTTGTCTTTGAAATGTAATGTTGGTTGCTTCAAAAAAAAATTCAGGCTCATTATTACTCGTGGGACACCCAAGTATAGGTAAAAATATACATAAATAAACAAAATAATTTATACATTACAACATTAACATTACATTTTCATAGGTCCAGTAGATTTCGAAATCATAGCGAGCTTTCGGGATATCATTGGACATCACACGAGCAACAAGAGATGCATTTTCCAAACATTCTCCATAAGATAAAATCATGTCTGTCTTCTCCTCATTTGAATAAGTCCACATGGTGTTCTATGGTCCACATTTTGCTCAGTTTATAATAAATTTGTAGCGTTTGTCAAAAATGACAATGACGATGATTGATGAAAATAATAGACATCGTGGATTCAAATTATAATTTTTTAAAACTGTCGCAAAGCAACTTGCGAATAATGGTGGTTGCATCGAGAATTTGGTCAGGCTCGTTATTCCTCGTGAATCACCCTGTA